GGGCACCTCCTCCCCCCTTTTGGATTTTGGTCCGGGAGAGTACTAACACCCACCTCGCCAAGGGGAAACTCGGGGTTTTGAGTTTTTGATAGGATTTATTGGGATTTTCTTAAATATTGTTTTTATTGATAAGGAAAGTGATAAGAATTTTATTTTCAAAATAATTTTTGCCCCTTAAATTTATAACAAGATCACAAACTGAGATCACATGAACTTTTTAAATTGTGACTGAGAAAAACCGAAAAAATATATGTTTGTATGAAAAAATTAAATTCATTCGATATTTACTCATATCGATATTTGTTATCGATAAAATTATCGATATCGATATGAACAATCGATTAATGTAATGAGTACATGTATCGATACTATCTTTCGATATGACATCCCTACTTGCGGCCGATTCGCCCAGCGTCGGTGCCGTGTTCTGTGGCTGGCACCAGTCCGCTCGCCGGTCTATCACAGAACAGAACACGGGACCGGCGACTCGTGAGCGCTGTACCAGTCTGCACGCCGGTTACGGCGCGTCCGCCAATTTGTCACAGAACACGAGAACCGAGCGCAACACATACGGACCCACGTCCCACGCCTACAAAATCGCTGTGAACGTGGCTTCGAGACACGGATATAGATACGAGTGCGGAGCACCAAATCTGGTCAATGTGTTCAACGGAGCTTCTGTGGCAAGACCTACCCAGGCAGATACGCTTCATACCCAAAATCAACTAACCAAAACATTATAATAATAACCTAACTTTAAATTAAAAATACCAAATTACAAAAAATACAGACCACTGTGAATTATTTTTATTCGCCGGAACATACGTATTACTATAATATTACGAGGTATTGAGTAACTCAAACATTACTGTGGTTCATCAATTGAAAAGTAATTACTTTTAATTTAATTTAATTAATAATTTTAATTTTTAAAACAACGTTAACCCTCCGTTGGTCGCATAGCTGTGAAAAAGACCGGCAACTCTGTAATTTTGATTTTTAAATTTTTTAAATAATAGTTTTTCTTTTGTAATTTATAGTACCTTTCATACTTATAAACATAATATTGATGTATAAATATCGATCATAAATATTTAATAATTTAAGACACAGAAATTATTTTCCATCGGTACGCGTCATAAGGAACGCGTGCGACTCGTTTTAAATGATAATTTTATGATGTGTTTTTCATGAAAAATTTATTTTTAGCTCGAATTTATTGGCTGTTTATAACGCCACTATACCTATATCTAGGTATTTGTTTTGATATTTTGAGAGTTTGGTATAACACGTTAATGTGATATTGTGCTTCAAACTGAACATCTTATCGACAGATCATTTCTAGTTCGTATAAATGATATATACGTACTTTTTTAGTTGTATTATCACTTTACATTTTATGTAACTAAATGTAAATAATTCAATAAAATATATTATGTAAAGATACAATTAATGTATAGTAAAAATTACTAAATGCAAAAATATATTTATATTTCAGTCTTATTTTACATGAAAAAAGACCTGGTCAAAATGACCGTGTGTGACTTTTGATGTAATAATTTTAGTGCGACCAACGAAGGGTTAATGCTAAAAAAATCAAAATATTAGTTATTTTTTTGAATATAAACTATCCATAGAATTGCAGCTGTATCTTATTTCAGCTATCATAAACTAATAATTACACATATAAAAGATATTGAAAAAATATAAATTTTAAAGAGAACGCGATCTTGTATGATTATTGTTACTTTATTATACAAATTCCCACTCAAACCATGACATTATATTCCCCAATCAAAATCGTACTGCAGCTAAGATGTTTACACATCATTCGTGAGTACATGGGCACTCACATGTTTTTTTTTTATTCAATTAATTATTTGAATAATTATAACGAATAATATTATTTAATGCCGAATTATTCAAATATTTTTTTTTCAATTAATCATTTGAATAATTATATATGAAACGAATAATATTATTTGATGACGAATTATTCGAATTATATTTATTTTAATTCGTTATTCGGTCATGCAAATTATTATTTGAATAATTATTCGATAGTTTGCACGAATAATCGAATATTATTCGATAGTACAAATTATTCGTTACCGCCCATCTCTAGTTTGTATGTTCGGGGTTAACTCCGAAACTACTTATCAGATCTTCTTGTTTTTTTTTAAAAACGAAAGAGTATATCATGGAGAAGGTTCCTATTGGAATAGCTTCCTACTATCTCCATCCATTTTAGTAGCTAAAACAGGTTTGTTTCGAACTACGATTTATTTTGCAGAACCGCTTACAACCGCACCATGGAAAAAAAACCCTGACGAACCAGAGAATGTCACGAAGAAGTCACTACCTTCGATGAGTGAACTCGTGGAGGTTCAAGATGCTGTAGCATCTACCTTAGCATCGCCATTCGCGCAGCCAATAATCGCTGATTCAAAATTGAAAGCCCAAGAACAACATGAGTACAGACAGCGTATCACAGCATCTAAAACTCCTGCTCAGGCGGCTGCTGCGAGAAAATCGAAAAACGAAAGACAACGCAACAACAGATTACGCCAAGTTACTAACTTGGCTATTGCCAGTATTTCTCTTGAAACGACAACTACATCTCCATCTTGTTCAGGGGAAGCGTCGAACAATGGCCAAACTAGAAGTCAACAACAACACGCGCAACAACAATCTACCACCACTGCAGATCAACCTGATGAGCGTGTCAATCTCACAAATGAGTCACTCCTTCCGGCAATTCCTGTCCTAATGGAGGTTCAAGAAGCTGTTGCATCTACCTCTGCGCTGCCATTTGCAGAACTAATAACTGCTGCTCCAAAAACAAGGGCACAAATACAACGTGAATACAGACAGCGGATTGCTGCATCCAAAACTCCTGCACAGGCAGCAGCTGCAAGAGAAGCACGTAGGTTAAGAATTCGAAACAACAGATTACGCCCAGCTGCTAACTTGGTTATTGCCAGTGGTTCTCTAGAAGCGACAACTACATCCTCATCTCGTTCAGGGCAAAGGTTAAACACCATCCATATTGATACCCAACGACAATTTCCCGACCAACAACGTCAAACTTTAGCAACAGAACCAGCAGAAACTACTGTACAACCAAGTACTTCTTCAGATCAAATTGAAGTTCAAGCACAATCTACTTGGAACACTAAATGGTTATCATCAATCATGAGATTCAAATCTACTTTTTTGGACAACGATTTTGGCTACGCTTGCTCGGTCTGTCACAGACTTTGGTTTAGAAACGACCTTAAACCCATCACTGCAGCACAGCTGAAGGTAATTTCGGATTGGTTGATCAAAGAAAATCAACAACTGAGCAGCGAAGAATATAAACTGGTTTGCAACACTTGCAAAAAGTCACTGAACAAACAATCGATGCCACCCCTAGCAAAAGTTAATGGATTCTCTTATCCTGACCCACCACCAGGCCTACCACCGTTAGATCCCATCAGTGAACGATTGATTTCACCTCGTCTACCATTTATGCAAGTGCGTCGTCTGCGCTATGATTTCTCTTATGGAATCGTAGGCCAAATGATAAACGTACCAGTCGACGTTCAAGAAATGGTAAAATGTTTGCCGCGACAATTGGATGAGGACGACGTTATTAATGTAAACATTAAAAGAAACCTTGCCCACAAATCTGTTTACATTAGCGGATACATGTCCAAAAGTACAGTTACTTCGTGGTTAACTGTTCTGCAGAACTCTCCATTATATCGTTTGTACGAAATCAAAGTGGACTTGTCAAGACTGAATCATGCTTTGCCAGACCTCGATGACGTAGAGGAAGACCCATCAAACCGTATAGAAAATATCTCCTCAGAACAGAACCCTGAATCTGAAATTCTCGCTTCAAGACAACATGCCGTGATGTGGAACCAAGAAGATTGTCTCAATATCGCACCAGGACACCGGGCAACTCCCCTCAACATAATTTACGACCGTCATGCAGAAGAGTTGTCTTTCCCATCAATATACTATGGAAATCCACGTCGATTCCACATGGGAGTTTCAGTGACCCTTTACATGATGGCAACCAGTGAAATACGACGGAGCGATAGACGCGGAGCCACGCCTCAAAAAATCTTGTACGTAGCAATGAACATTTTGCGGCTACGTATGGTGGATGGAATTTACAGCACGTTTCGAAACGTTTCAGTCACAGAAAATTTTACACGACGTATGTTAGAAGACCCAGAATTTCTGAAAGAATACGTCTTACAAAACCTCGCATTCATGAAGACAGTGCCAAAATCCGTCCAATACTGGGCTTCTCGCAAACGTGATCTCTTCGCCATGATTCGACAACTTGGTAAACCAACCATCTTTCTCACGATAAGTGCAAACGAAATACGACGGATGAAATTGCTTACTATACTTCTCAGACTGAGCAATAAATATCGTGGAAAATCAGCAGGAGAACTCAACACTTCCGAGCGCTGTACTTTAGTTAGTGACGATCCTGTGACGTGCTGCATTTACTTCTACAAGCTCGTCGGTTCCTTGATGAAAATTCTGCAATCCAAACAGTCCTATAATCCATTCGGAAAGTATTTTGTTCGAGATTACTTCATTCGTTTTGAGTTCCAGCATCGAGGAAGCCCCCATGCACACATTTTATTACGGTTAAACAACGACCCAGATGAAACCCCGTCAGAAAATATGCCAAAAACCATTGAGCTCGTAGATAAATTAAGTACCGTAGCCCGGAATGATGTACCTAACAATTCCATCTACGCCAACCAGATACACAAACATACTTTCACATGCACGAAGCAAGGTGAGACAATTTGTAGATTCAGAATTCCGTACTGGCCAATGTCTACGACTCGTGTATTGGTTCCAAATTTCCAATGCCTCAATCTGATATACGCCGTCGAACACTACAACAGAATGCGAAAGAGCTGCGTACTTCACTCGATGAACGTCGGTACGCGGGCATGGATGACTTTCTTGTAGCTAATGGTATGACACACAATTCATACCTTGACATTGTGCGCTCAACGTTACGCAGACCAACTCTTCTGTTCAGACGAAACTTTGACGAACTTATGACAAACACGTTCAATCCGTACATTGCTGGCGAAGTCAATTCAAACACCGACATTCAATTTATGACGGATGAATACAGCTGCGCAGAGTATGTTGTGGAGTACTTAAATAAATCAGCTCGTGGAATGGGCAATCTACGTCATGAGCTTACTACGATGATGCAAGAGCATCCCGAACGGGACTACACAGACCAGTTGAAAGCTTTAAGCATCAAGCTACTTAACGCTGTCGAGATGTCAGCGCAAGAAGCAGCATGGTATCTCCTACGTCAACCAATGAGCGAGACAAGTCGTCAAGTTGCGTATATTCCAACAGTATGGCTGACGGAAAGACAACGTTGCCGCAAACGTCGTCAACAAATGGCCCGCGAAGGGCTTGACAAAAACAGTACTGATGTCTGGACCAAAAACATAATCCAGCGCTATGAAGAGCGTCCTGCATCTTTAGAACAAGTGTATTTAGCTGAGTTTGCATCGTGGTATGCTAAAGCTAATGATTTCGTTGACGAAGAGGACGACGTGAACGTGGATGGCGAAGAAGATCTAGAAAGTAAACCCGCAGCAAGAACGTCAAGAGCACAAAATCAATACCGCAAACGACTAATCGGACGTGTATACGGTACAGACATTACGACATGGACGAAACTGTCAATTATAAACGAGAAATGGTTCTATTATACGTACAATTCCGCAACGAATTGTTAGAAATTGTTGATCAAAATAAATTTCTCCAATTATTTGACGACAATAAGGACGCGATCATGGAACGCCGTAGTCAATTCGAGTCTAATTTGAACATTGAAAACGTCATGAGAGAACTTGAAGCGATGATGATTTTGCAAAACGAAGACAACAGTAATTTGCGGGAGGATGAATCCAGAACAGCAACTGTTCAACAGTTGTTAGGAGAGGATGGTGCCGAAAACGTCGATGATGTTCACCAAATCGTCCCACGACAAGGATTCTCGATTGTAAAGAAACGCAGCAATGTAATGTCAAAGCAACAGTATTGTGAACTTGTACGAACAACTAATCCGGAACAACGACAGATCATTCTTGAAGTTATACATCGATTGCATGGTTGTGGAGACTACACTTCTGAAGCAGTTCAAATTTTCTTCACGGGTCTTGCAGGCTGTGGAAAAACTTACACGTTAAAGTGCCTCATGGAGACATACAACCGCTACACTCTGGAGCACAACTCAATGAACATCGCCTACATTGCCTGTGCAATCACAGGTAAAGCCGCTGTACCTCTTGGTGGCACTACAGTCCATTCAGCGTTTCGTCTCACAACTTCTCGCGTGAAGAAACTCTTATCCACAGAAAACTTGCAAGCTTGCAGAAACATATTCGTAGGCGTCAAAGCTGTTTTCATCGACGAGATCAGCATGTTAAGTTCAGCTATTCTTCAACGAGTTAATTACCGATTGCAGCAGATTACTGGCATATACCACAAACCTTTCGGAGACATTGACGTTATATTATGTGGAGATTTCAGACAGCTTCCACCCGTACGAGCAACTCCATGTTATACTATGCAGATCGACCAATTAGGAGGTCCGATTCTTTGGCACAGCATTGATTACTTCCCACTGGTTCGTGTTGTACGACAAACCGATGAGCGGTTTTCAACGATTCTTACAAAAATCGGTTGGACTTCAACTAAGCAACGATAATATCTCCCTTATTGAGTCCAGACATAAAACTCAGGCTTGGTGCAAGGAAAACGGGCCTAATGCTGTCAGACTGTATTATAGTAACAATGAAGTGGATTCGTACAACCGAAGCGCAATTCTAAATGCATACAACTGTCTCGCACATGATATTATGTTTGGTTATTCAAGTGAACAAGAGAAGAGACAATACCAAGGTAAACTACACAAGATGACAGTGGCAGAAACCGATGGATTACCGTACCTACTGCCATTGGCGGAAGGATATCCCTACATGATAACTTCTAACATAGATGTCACTGATAGGTTGGTAAATAGAGCTATTGGTGTCTTGCAACATATCGAACGTCAGCAGTCAAATGTAGATGACAATTCTGCAGAAGCAGGACCATCGACCAGTAAAACTTCGCCAGCAGCTAGAGAAGAAATTGTTACTTTATGGTTCAAGTTTCCAGAAGAAACAACAGGAACCACAGCCAAAGTTAAATGTCGACTTCACGTGCAAAGCAAGCCAAATACTTTGTCCACAAACTGGGTACCAGTTTATAAGAAAATAGTGAACATTACACTAACAAAAACTATAAAATGCAAAAACAGTAAAACGAAAACAGTTTCCTTGCGTTCCTGCTTGTGCCATCACTATTCACAAGTCACAAGGCGGGTCGTTTGCTGTCATTGTTTATAAATACTCACCCAAGCAACCGCAACAGTTGGTGTACGTGGCACTGAGTCCGGTAACGAGTTTAGAAGGCTTGCATATTATCACCGAAAAAGATGTTCTATTTCGGTTTAAACACGAACGGGAGGGAAACGATTCACAGACAACAAGAAATATCCGTAACGAATACATTCGACTTCGTGGACACACACTTCGAACAATTACAGATAATGCAGTAAAATTCTGTAATGACTCAAACAATGCAGGACAAACTTTAATAACAAACCTTAATTCACAGAGTTTGCCTGCTCACTTTACAGATATTGAAAAAGACACAGTGATTCCAAGGTCTGATTATTTGATTCTGACTGAAACGTGGATGCGAGACAATTGTGATACAATTTCAATTGAAAATTTTGAATGTGTAACCCGGCAGAATAATCGATCAGATTCTGAAACAAATGCAGCAGGTGGAGTGGAAATTTATAGAAACTTATCATCGACATCCACGGCCAAAATTCTCAACGTTGAACTTTCGAATACAACCCGCCTTATTAAAAACACTGGTGACGTTTGCTTAACAGAAGTTACATGCTTCACTGCTGATACCACGTTCAAAATGATTCTTGGCGCAGTTTATATTCATCCTGGAGCAAGTATTTCTAACATCAGTGTTCTGCTGCATCAAGCACTATTTCCGTATGTTTACAACAGCCAGTATGTACATCCCATCATCCTATCATCGTCCTATTCTCAACAGAATAACACAAATTGGAAGAAGTTAAAATATATCACACATGTTTTAAATTTGTAAAACAATTGCTCAACGCACTTTTTACAATTCATACTTTTAAAAACTATTAAATTGTAAAAAAAAAAAATTGTCATAATTTATTGTATTTATGCGTACAAATAAATGTAACTTGATCAATTCCATTGTGATTTCCATTTACCTCCTTCTCTATATACATACAAATCTATTAAACAAATGAAATTAAAATTTATCAGAAGTATATTTTTTTTATAGAGCTATAATTATCGACATATTATGAGTAAAACCTTAAAATATTTAGACCAATATTATTTTTTTATTGTCTCCTTTTTTAGTTTTTTCTTTTGATTGGTAATGTATGTTACATAAAATTTATTAATATACTATTATTATTATAATTATAAAAATATATTACAGATTTTTTGATGTTTTGAAACACTTCTATAAAAATGAGGATTCATCCAAAGTGACAAACGATGTAGTATTACTTTAAAACGACGATATTATATAAATCAATTTAAAACTGCTAAATATGTTTATTTCTTTATTATTATTATTATTATTATTATAACTATTATTATTATTATCTAAGAGCAAACATTGTTGGCAGATATTAGGAAGCAAATGGTATTTATTTAAAGAAGTTTAACTATGATGAATGTGGAGTAAGTTAAAACATAATTATACATTAAAAAGAAAAACATAACATCAACATTCCTAAAGAGAACACAATTAAATGTTTGAAATGCCAGAATGGACTTAAAACTAAACTAATTTAACATTTTTTTATTTATTTATTTTACATACTGGGTAATTCTTTTATCAAACAACACTCATCAGGATTATGATTTTTTGGATTGTGCTAGGAGTGGTGAATAATTTAGATTTGGTTATATTAATGTTTCGAAGTGAGTTGGAGTGGGCAGAAACTTCTGGAAAGTCGGGACCAGGGTTTGGTTGGAATTGGAGTTCGAGAGAGTCGGCTATCAACTCAGCTCGATCGATGGCCGGAAAAACTAGACCGTTGGGGCCGGTAAGAGGGTGGGATGCAGGACGTTTGTGGAGGAGACATTTGTTTAATTTGTATATGGAACCGTCCTGATGGTCAAGAAAATTAAGAAAAATGTCCCACTGGTCAGTTTTGTGAGTTTCGAGTAAGGTTCTGATTAGTGAGATTTTGGCGTTAAGTTGACGTTTGATAGTCGGGTCACGGTTTATTTGCCATTGACGGCGTAACTGGTTTTTACAGTTATTACAAGTTTTATGTAGTCAGGTAGTAAAAAGGAAGAGTTTTTGTGTTTAGGGGTAAATACGCTAGCTTCGATCGCGTGTTGTATGTTTTTGGTGAGAGTATCAATTGCCAAATCAATTGACTCACTGTTGGTGGTCGGTCGTTCAGTTGGGTTTGGTAAGTTGGATAGAATTGTCTTGTATTTTGTCCAGTTAATGAAGCGGTTAGTCGTTGGAGGGGACGATGATACCGGAGTACACAAGGTCTCCAGAAGGATAGGGTTGTGGTCAGAAGATAGCTCGTTGAGGTTGTCGATTTGAGTAGGGTAAGGTAGTCGAACGAGTGCGATGTCAAGTATGTCAGGTCTGTATCTAGCGTTTGTCGGGAAGTGTGTGGGGGATGAGGGAGCAGTAATGGTATAGTCCGATTGTTGAACGTGATCGAAAAGTACGCGACCGGCAGCGTTTGTCGAGTGGCTATACCAGAGAGGGTGTTTGGCGTTGAAGTCACCTGCCGAGATTTGCCATTCGGCACTTTGGGTCAACCAGTCCAAGTCGTGAGACGTGAGTGTTGCACCCGGTGGTTTGTATACCGCTGATACAAGGACTTCGTGGCCGTTTAGTTGAATGAGGACAGAAGAGGTTTGAATGAGTGTGTTAAGAGTTATAGGTTGTTGAATGAGGCGGCAGATCATTCCTGTATGTGAAGAAATTTGGGAAGTGAAGTTTGGAAGAAGGGGGTAGACGGGTTTCGTTAAGTAGAATTTTGTCGGTTTTGAGAAGGAGTGCGAGGAAACGTAGTTCGTTGAGTTTGTGTTTGATGCCGTTGGAGTTCCAAAAAAGTATTTTTAAATTACTCATTTTGGGGAGAGAGAATGGACAGGAAAGTTTGAATAGTTGTTTGTATGAGTGTTTTGGGGTCTTAATTGTTTGAAAGTGCAGTCAGTAGGTTTGTGAGTAGGTTAAGTATTGTTAACAAGTTAAGTTATGGGAGTGGGGGAGATGAAAGAGTGTGGGCTGGTTTGGATGTAGCTGCGGAGTATGTCAGTGTAGTGTTTTGTGGGGGGGTAGGTGGTGGTGGAGTGGTTGAGATTGGTTGAACGGATTGTTGACTAACGGGGTTTTGGGTTGAGGATGGAGTTACTTGTTGCTTTTGGACCAAGAACTGGGGGCAGCCACGGAAATTTGCGGTGTGCGAACCACCACAGTTGCAGCAAGTCGGGGGTTGATCGAAAGTTTTGGGGCAGACGTTGGCAGTGTGGTTTCCAGCGCATTTTACACATCGCGGCGGATGACCAAAGTTACGTGAACCATGGCCAAAGCGTTAACATGAAAAACACTGGGCCGGGCCAGAGGGTTAGAGGGGTTCAACAGAAATTTGTAGGTAAAACAAGTTGTCTAGGGAATAAATATCTTTGGCCGTAAGATTGGCGGCGATGTGTACTGCACATATGGGCATAGGTTTCTCCGGAGTTCCAAAGCGGCGGACGTGTTGAACGGTGTAACCCAGGGATTCTAGCTCGACCTGGAGTTCGCCCGTTGATATGTCGTTTGGGATTCCCTTGAGAACGACCTTAAGGAAGCATTCCTCAGAGAGGGAAAAAGTGTGGAATTCCGTGCCGTGTTGGGATAGTGCCTTCTGGACCATGCAGAACTGAGTCGCATCAGCGGTCCTCAAAATTACCCGTTCGCCGGAAGATTTAGCTGACAGGGAAATTGGTTACAAGTTTGGAAGAGAGTAAATAGCGGGCGCGACTTTTCGCCAGGAAGTGGAGCTTAAAATGATAGGGGGTGGTCTGGGAATTGATGAGGGTTTGGATGGTGTCTGGACAGTAGGGGTGGGGGTGGTAGCGGTTTTTGGAGTGAGTGAAGCCGAGATCTTGGATGTCACAGAGGACAGAGAGTGGTTTGTAGAAGTGCTAGAGTCAAGAAAGTGTCTAGGGTTTCAGAGTCGGAAGTACTAGAAATTGATGGGGAAGGGGGAGCTGCACGTTGTTTTGCTATTTTCGGAGTTGGTTGGGAAGAGGGGTCTCCAACCTTCCTACGTTTGTTGTTTCTTGCCATTTTTCTGTATAGTTGATTGGGGAGGGGGCGGCCCCACGACAGCTGTTGACGGATGGACGTCGCTTCCGCGGCGGCTTACTTGTGGGCGCTGGTGCCCTGTCGGAGAGCGGTGAAAACGGCTGTTTAGTTGACGTCGACGAAGCTTTCGCGGCGGCTTGGTGTGGGCGCTGGTGCCCTGTTGAGAGCGGTGAAAACGGCTGTTGGTGAATACGTCGCTTCCGCGGCGGCTTGCTGTGGGCGCTAGTGCCCTGTTGAGAGCCGTGAGAACGGCTTGTTTAGGTGACGGTTCGGGTGTGAACCGTGGGCGCTGATGCCCTGTTGAGAGCGGTGAATACAGCTGTTTGAGGAGCTGCTGCTGAAGGCTGGCTGCAAGTTGAGTGGTGTTGGACTTGTTCGGATGGGTACTGAAGTATAACTAATGTTAGGTTAGGTTAGGTTAGGTTACCGTTCTCGGAACCGACTTACCAAACGGGGCCAAACTGCTGGGCTTTGCCGACGACACGCTCGCCAAGACGGTCAACGAGCTGGAGGAGATGACCAACAGTGAGCTATCGCTAGTGGAGAGCGCATCACTAACCTCGGCCTCCAGATCGCTGCCAAGAAAACGGAAGCGGTCATGTTCACATACAGATACAAGTATACAGAACCAGAAATCCGACTGTGCGGAAACCGCGTCCCGCTGAAAACTGAGATGACCTACTTCGGGATTGTAGTGGACAGGACACTACTTTTCAAGAGCCTGATCAAGGCAGTCACAACTAAGGCGGCAGAAATCAGCATGCTACTCGCCAGGATAATGCCGAATGTTGAAGGGCCGCGCGAGGACAGGTGGTGCCTTCTATCCGCAGTAGTGCACTCCGTGCTACTATATGGCGCCCCTGCTTGGGCGCACACAATAGACGTTGACACGTCATACCTGGTAATGTGCGTCTCCTCAACAGAGCACAGCGCAGAGTGTTGCTCCGGAGCATCTGCGCCTACCGCACAGTCTCCGAGTTGGCGGTCAACACAATCGCAGCGGCCCCTCCGGCGGATCAGGCGAGCGGCTATAACCGTCACCACCACCGGGGTAGAACCCAATAACCTCACCCTCGACAAGTGGCAGGAGAGATGGTCTACCGGAGAGACTGGCGGCTGGACCAGACGACTAATCCCAGACGTCCGTAGCTGGTGCAACAGGAGATACGGTCGGACCAACTTCCACCTCACCCAATTCCTATCAGGGCACGGGTGCTTTAGTCAATACCTCCACCGGATCTGAAAGGTCGCCGACCCCATGTGCGTCGACTGCCAAGCGCCCGTGGATGACGCGGAGCACGCGTTCTTCGTGTGTGACCGCTGGTGGCGGCAGAGAAGTGATCTCGAGACCAACATTCGGAGAAAGTTCACCCCAGAGTCAGCGGTCCAAAGCATGCTGGAATCATACACCAACTGGGCAGCCGTCGACGAGGAAAGAGAGCGCCAACGAAGATTAACCCCGGTTAGTTAAGTCGCTTATCGTTGTGGGCCGAAGGCCGTTGTTTTTGATGGTGTAGGGCCATCACTTTGTACATTATAATCACATTGTAATAATTTTGTATTTGTGTTAAATTAACGATGCAGGGGAGCTGGCGAATTGCCTCACCAGGTATTTCCGGCCCCCTGCGATACCGTATAAAAAAAAAAAGGTTAGGTTAGGTTAGGTTGTATGCCAGGCTCCCGGTCCCCCGGACTGCTGTCCTATTACTTGGCATCCCGGAGTGGGTCGAGGCTGGAGAGGTCGTTGACGTACTCAAGCGCACGGGCATTCCCGATATCGCAGCCGACGACGTTAAAGTTTGGAGGAATTCTAACGGCCGTGAAGAAATGGTGGCTAGCTTGAGCCTACCTCTCAAGGACGCCATCGCGTTGGCGGAGAGCAAGGCAGTCGTCGTAGGGTGGATGAAATGCAGGGTCAAGTTGCTGGACAAACGCCAACCCACCTGCTATAGATGCCAGCAGAAAGGCCATCTTGCTGCTGAGTGCCAGAACGAGTCGAAGGCGCGACGCTGCCACAGGTGCCAAGGTGAAGACCACCTTGTTAGTGTTTGCACGCGCAAACAACAGCAGAAGCAGCCTGCTAAGACCAGGGATCCCCAGTCCCCAGCGTCCAACCGCGGAGAGACGGATTCGTCGGTTGAACCGCCGGTGGAGAACCCCGACAGTCCCAAATGATGGAGTTAAGCTTCATCCAAAGATACCTCAACCATTGTAGCGCGGCTCAAGACCTGATAGCCCAATACATGGTTGAGGAGAAGATTGACGTCGCGCTCATAAGTGACCCCTACAGGATCGATGCCCACTCAACATCCTGGATCGCCAGCACAGGCACAAACAGGGCGGCTATCTTCATCGCGAGCAATGGAGTAACAATCGCCAACGTGGTTCGCGATCCCGAATTTATTTCCGCTCGACTCAACGGCGTGCAGGTATATTGCTGCTACGCCTCGCCCAACCGAAGCCTGGAGGAATTCAACGACTTTCTTCACCAATTGGAGGACAGCCTGAGGTCCATCGAACAAGGGGTGCCTGCCCTGATCACCGGGGACTTCAACGCGAGATCCGCTGCTTGGGGTGACTGGGTGGACAACCAGAGAGGCGAGGAGCTGTGCACACTATTCGAGTTACTTAATCTGGTCGTTCTGAACGAAGGGTCCACCCCCACTTTCCCCAGAGGCGCTGGCTCCATCGTCGATGTCTCGGCAGCATCCGAGTCCCTGTCTCACCGCGTGCACAACTGGAGGGTGATGGACGAAGTGTTCAACTATAGCGACCACAACTACATCCGCTTCTCCTTGAACCGCCACGCTGCTGAACCACCAAGACCTGCTCTCCCCCATACACCTGGTGGATGGGACACCTCCGGAGGCATCGACAGCGACTCATTTCTAGCCGGCCTGCTGCTCGCAGAATGGCTCGACCAAGCTAGCCCCAGCGCTGGCCTTGATGCGGATTCGAGCGCAGAACAATTACGGGCGAGGGTCACGGCTGCATGTAACTTTGCTCTCCCGGCGCGGCGCGCCGCTAGGCAGGGTAGGCCCCCAGTACACTGGTGGAACAGAGAAATCGGCTCCCTACGCTCAGAATGCGTTATGGCCAAACGCCGCAAGGTCAGGATGGCTGCCCTTATCGCCCGCCTGCGACGACGAGCCAACGCCGACTTCGATGAAGAGCGGGCGAACACCGAACTAAACAGGACCAACGACGCATACCGAGATGCCAAAAAGCTCCTGAAAGTAGCTATCCTGCGCAGCAAAAAGGCCTGTTGGACGGAACAGATCTCCACAGTGGACGCAGACCCCTTCGGGAAGCCGTACAAACTGGTCATGCGCAAGCTCAGGGGACCACCCGCCACGGCCACGATGGAGCACGCAACGCTGATGGCAGTGATTCGCACGCTCTTCCCGACGCACCAAGCGAGAACAGATGGCCCGCTGGCCCCCACAAATCCGGTGGCACCGTTTATCGCGGCCGAGGTGGACATGGCGGTTATCAGAACTGGTGGCAGGAACAAAGCTCCCGGCCCCGATGGAATCACCAGCAAGATCCTCCTGGCAGTGCATAGGGCCAACCCGCACATCCTATTGGACCTGTACAACACCTGCCTCCGGAGCGGAACCTTCCCGGCTGAATGGCAGTCTTCCAGAGTTGTGCTCTTGAAGAAAGGTAACAAGCCGGATGGGGTCCCACCATCCTACAGGCCCCTCTGCCTCCTGAACGATGCGGTTTAAGATCCTCGAGTTCCTTCTTGCCCGGAGACTGGAGGAGCACATTGAAAGCACCGGAGGACTATCCCACAACCAATACGGCTTCAGGAAAGGGAGGTCTACCGATGATGCGGTCATCCAGCTGCACGACACCATCGTTCAAGGAATCGGAGGTTTCGGCAAGTTTAGCCTGGCAGGTCAGCATCGACATCAAGAACGCCTTCAACTCGGTGAAATGGTCAGACATTCTGGCAGCGCTGACCAGGCGGAGAGTCCCACAGCACCTGCTCAACATGTTCCGCTCGTATTTCTCGGGCAGATCGGGGACAGTGCAGGCGAACTGCGCCCAGGGAGGCACGGCGGAAGTCACTGTTTCCGGAGGAGTTCCCCAGGGCTCAGTGGTTGGCCCTCTACTATGGAACATCACGTTCGACACCGTTCTCGGAACCAACTTACCAAACGGGGCCAAACTGCTGGGCTTTGGCGACGACACGCTCGTAGTGACCTGTGCCAAGACGGTCAACGAGCTGGAGGAGTTGACCAACAGTGCGCTATCGCTGGTGGAAGAGCGCATCGCTAACCTCGGCCTCCAGATCGCTGTCGAGAAAACGGAAGCGGTCATGTTTACGTATAAATACAAGTACACAGAACCAGATATCAGACTGTGCGGAAACCGCATCCCGCTGAAAACTGAGATGTCCTACCTCGGGATTTTAGTGGACAGGACACTACTGTTCAAGGGCCAGATCAAGGCAGTCACAACCAAGGCGGCAGAAATCAGCAAGCGACTCGCCAGGATAATGCCGAATGTTGGAGGGCCGCGCGAGGACAGGCGGTGCCTTCTATCCGCAGTAGTGCACTCCGTGCTACTATACGGCGCCCCTGCTTGGGCGCACACAATGGACATCGTACCTGGTAACGTGCGTCTCCTCAACAGAGCACAGCGCAGAGTGTTGCTCCGGAGCATCTGCGCCTACCGCACAGTCACCGAGTTGGCGGTCAACACAATCGCAGCGACCCCTCCGGCGGACCTTCTTGCCAAGGAAAGGGAGAAAACGTTCGCGATCAGGCGAGCGGCTATAACCGCTGCCACCACCGGGGTGGAACCCAAAAACCTCACCCTCGACAAGTGGCAGGAGAGATGGTCTACCGGAGAGACTGGCGGCTGGACCAGACGACTGATCCCAGACGTCCGTAGCTGGTGCAACAGGAGACACGGTCGGACCAACTTCCCACCTCCACCCAATTCCTATCAGGGCACGGGTGCTTTAGTCAATACCTCCACCGGATCCGAAAGGTCGCCGACCCCATGTGCGTCGACTGTCAAGCGCCCGTGGATGACGCGGAGCACGCGTTCTTCGTGTGTGACCGCTGGCGGCGGCAGAGAAGTGATCTCGAGAGCAACATCGGGAGAAAGTTCACCCCAGAGTCAGCGGTCCGAAGCATGCTGGAATCATCCACCAACTGGTCGGCCGTCGATTCATATGTCAACCTCGTTTTGGCAGCAAGAGAAGAAGAGGAAAGAGAGCGCCAACGAAGATAAACCCCCTTTTAGTTAAGTCGCTTATCGTTGTGGGCCGAAGGCCGTTGTTTTTGATGGTGTAGGGCCATCACTTTGATTTAATATATAAAATTGTAATAATTTTTGTATTGTGTTATTAAATAAACGATGCAGGGGAGCTGGCGAATGCCTCACCAGGTATTTCAGGCCCTCTGCGATACCGTAAAAAAAAAAAAAGGTTAGGTTGTATGCGCGTGCACCCGTATACCTAGTAACCTGTATACTGATTGGTGTGTTTACAGTCGGCACGGTTTTTTTTGTAATTTAGCCGGCATTTGTCTTACAAAGGTCAAAATGGTATCTACGTAATCGGTGTCATCTCTTCTATTCATAGATACCCTTTTCTTGTCTGTACTTAAATATGTATTTAGAAATCAGCCTTTAAGCGTCGCCTATTTCAGATTGGTCGGGCGTTCATTTTTTGGTCACGGTAGGTCTGGGACTATAGTGTAGATGTCAAATGTGGTGGTCCTGAGAGGGCCGTTTTTGTTAGATTGCTCCGTTACACAACTAGATTCACGTTCCGATCAAAAAGATACTGTTGAAGAAAATCCAAGCACGTTTACCGTCATAAAAGGTGATGACAGACACAAAAATTAATAAAAAATGTTTTATTTTTAAATAAAAACACAACATCATTGTAAAATCAATACATTCATCGTTCCACTCAGAATCTAAAAACGAATATTATGCTATTCAATCAGAAGCCATACTTAAACTGTAAAAAAAAACAGCATTTAAATATATTGATTTCCCTGGGAGATACTAAGGTGATATTAGAACTTTTGACATATACTGTATGTGTATAGACTGGCCATCTTCATTATACCATTAAATTCAAATATAACACATCTATTACAGACTACAGTGACCCACAATATGGATGATCATATAATAATATATTCTTATTATATAATATATGCCCACAAAACACCACTTGCCAACACTTTTTATAATTAGGGTTTTTATTTTATCAAACACAAAAATATTTTTCACAAAAAGAATCATATCACTCATGACACGAAGGATCATGAATTGTATACCAGAAACCACCCTCAAAGTTCAATATTAAAACATATTTTCTGCTCTAAACTCTGATGGCAGACGTAACACTGTAAATCAATTCTTAGACATATCACCTAAAATGTCTGTACTTAGTAAATTAAATTGTAGGTTTTCTTTAATTTTGCTATTTTCTATTGTTATTATATTTTCAAATGTTTTATATTCATGTTTAATTTGTTGAAGTTGTTGCTAACTATTTTCTAATTTCCAATATAATTTATAGCTGCAAATGCAATTTCGTTCATAAGATATCCCGAGCAAGACAAACTACATAGTAAATTATCTTCGATTGTTATAAGTATCAGCAAAAACTACAGAGGGTACACTATTTTTTTTAAGACCTTTCTTCTATTGCAGATTCTTGGTGGAATTACATTGTTGTAACAAAAACAAAAAAATAAAATATTCTAAAGTTTTAAAGACAATGGAGCCATTCAGGCATCATGGTTTTTAATCAACTCTACAAAATATTAAATCATAAATATATTTTTTAAAAAGTCCATGTGGGTGGCAGGGCGATTGCCACCTCACTGTCAACAGTAAATCCATCTATGTATTGATAGGACCATCAATATGCAAAAACAGAATCATAAAAGGTAGAGTAGAAATCCTTTAGTGTCCATACAAATAGCACCCACTGATGTGTAATGTCAGTTGTATAATATTAACTATGTAAATAAATAAATAACACTTTCACTAGAATATTAAATTAAAAACCTCTGAATCATAGTTTTTACTCGTGTCTGTTGTTGTCTGCATTATATTGGTTACTGGGTCATACCAAGTCATATAACACATTTTCATTTTTTTTTTTGAATAATTGAAGATAAGAATAACATGAAAAAAATAAATGAATAAAAATTGTAAAGATGCTTGAAAAATAAGTATAATACTTTTTTTTCTTGACTGTCTATGTGTATTACGAATTGTCTGTGGAATAGTAATATGTGGTTGTGTCTTTAGAATATGAAAATTTAAAGCTTCAATTATAAAATCTTTAACTAAAATTATTATAATTACACAAGACTAAATGTATGATAGAGGCATATTTATGAAAAAAAAAAAACATACATTTTAGACTATTTTTAAGAAGAGGTTCCTCAACTACTTCTTTTGATCAGTATTCTTTGGATTCTAATGGCAAACGTACATGTTTCATTAATATAGGCAAACTTTTGTTTCTACAACTTAAATCATGTTTTACCCAATTAATAACACATTCAAACACCTACAACAATTAAATGATTAAATTAAAATATAACTAAAAATAAGTAGGTACATAAAACCATTGGCCACTAACATTTTTGTTTTGAAACACAATATATTTATTTGATATACCACTAACCATAAATATTTTTGTCATTGGATGAATGATTTGCAAAGGTTGTACTCATAAATAATTTTATTGCTTATAGGTTCAAACTATGCAAAGAATTCCATTATGTATGATACTGTTTCTATATTATAGTTAGGTTACCTAGGTTACCTAACCTAACCTTGCATAATTTGATGCCCAACTGTAAGGGTGTAGATTGTAGTCTAGTGTTCTAGTTGTAGTTTTAGTTGTAAGTTTTATGTTGTAGTTTTTAAAACAGTAGAACTCGTTTATAATGACATTCAAGGGACCAAGGAAATTAGGTCATAATAAATTTTTCTCATAACTAATGCTGAGAATTTGTAGGAAAGTGCATTTTTTTTTTTTGGTGATTGTGAAACGTAGCTTTGTAAGTACATAATTTAAATTATGCAACTACGAATCCATTTATCAAACTTTTATTTTGCACTTTTAGGTCATATTTTCCTTTTTAGTTCATTTTTCGGTATTTTTAATCAAATTCCGTCAATTGATATGTGCAATGTAATAAGTAAAGACTAAAGATGAATAAGGTAAAATAAATATATTTAAGTTTGTTTTATTATTTAAACAAAACAAATACATAAAAAAAATTTTAAAACTGAGTCGGGTGAATGGCATTAAACAAATTCAAATTCAATCAATATTTTTTATTAAATAAACATATTTTTATGCATGTTAAATGTTATGTCTTAATGTGTAATATCCTTTAATATAATTACAGATATAAAAATTAAATTAAAAACCATTTTAATTGCATTTTATACTATAATTTTTGGTATTTTATAATGCATTTTTTGCATTTTAAGTGCATATTTTTGATGGTAACCATGAAATTCACAGCCCTACTCATAACTACAGATAAAACTTTACATATAAAACTTACCTATGCATTTTCGGGTCCTATACTTAAGGTCATAAAACCAGATATGTCACTACAACCAGCGCCTTTATAAACAATTTCTACTGTACTTATAAATTAATCAACTACCAAAAAATTGTATTTAAAGCATAATATATTAAAATAATTATTAAGGTTTATCACCTAGCCAAGCACGGGATACCCACAAACCTAATATATTTATTTATGAAACTTGATTCAAATTTATTCTCTTCAAGCAGCCAAAGTAAATAGATTTCCCAACAAGAATTAAACACAACAATTATGAAATTTTTGTATGCATACTTTCTCTTCAGATGGAACGTGAATATCATCACGAAAGTCTACTCTAGTTCCTCTCCTCAATATTTTAGTAGTTCAGCTTGAACTTCATCCTCACCAGGTGATTTGTGATTCTTAAGCCATTTTATCTGTAGCTTTATCTCTTCCAGCGTTGGTTCTGGGCAATCTTGTTTATTCCAAGATTCTAGGTCGAAACTGAAGACTTCGTCCTGCTAGTCACATTTAATATACTCATCAAAGTACTTACCCCATCTTTTGGATATCTCTTCGCTCGAAGTTATTAGTGACCCATCATCATTTTTTAAGAACCTATCTTTCTTTTTATATCCTCCTGTAAGTCGACTTATCTGCTTGTACATGTCTCAGGTTTTATGCGATTTATAGTCGAGCTCTGCTTAATCCATATTCCCTGAGGTATTTCCTTTTTCACACCTCAATATGTTGCTCGTCTCTCTTAGGCGAATTTTGTACCTGTCGAAATGCGTAACATTATTTGTGCCATTTAACCAATTCATTCTTGCCACTTCCTTCCTTTCAATGGCTTCTTCGCAAACTCTGTTAAACCAGGTTTGGTTTCCTGAAATTATCTTTCCTAAAATCGTTGTCGCTGCATTATTAATGGCACTTCTTATTTGCTCTCAGTGCCTATCCACATCTGCCTCGGCTATTGTTTCCTTTCTGTAGAATTTCCTTAACTTTGTTATTAAATTGATCGTTTATTGATTGGTCCTCCAGTTTGTCAATATCAAACCGTCCTGTATTTAACACACGTTGTTTATTAAGTTTTTTCAGTTTTACTCTCATCCATATTCCGACAAGTAGATGATCCGAATCCAGGTCAGCTCCCCGTAATGTCCTTATATTCCGGACACTATTCTTGAATCTGCTATTAATTAGTACATGGTCTATCTGATTCTTATATTTACATCTAGGAGATCCAAGTATACTTGTATATATCTTTCCTTGGGAACATGGTGCTTTTGATCACCAGCCCTTTTCCTACAGCAAAGTCTATAAGTTTTGATCCATTGTCATTTGAAGTTGCATGCAAGCTGTGAATTCCGATGGTGTTTCTATATACAGGCTCCCTACCTATTTTCGCGTTAAAGTCTCCCAAAATCAGCCTGACCTGACCCACCGAAGTATTAAATACATCTTCTAGTGCTGCATAGAAGAGCTCTTTTTCCATTTCATCTTTATCTTCGGTAGGAGCATGTATGTTAATCAAAACCAAATCAAAGTTTTCTGTTGTTAGCGTTAACGTAGATAATCTTGGGCTTATGTCTCTAAATTCTTTTACTGTGTGAATGATTGATTCATGTATCGCAAATCCCGTTCCCAGTCTGTGAGCCTGTTCGCATTTTCCATTAAAAATAGTTGTTTGAGACACCTTTGTCGTGCCGGCATCTTGACATCTAACCTCCTGAAGTGCCACACACTTCATTTTGTATTTTCAACTCTCTTGCTAAATTTACAGTTTCCCCTCTTTGTACAAGGTTCTTACGTTCCAAGTACCACATAAAAGTTCCGATTTCCAGTTTCCAGTCTTTTTTCCGTTAACTCTAGTCCGAGGCTTGGTGTTTGAGTCCTGAACATTAGCTTTTTTACAAGGCAGGGTCGTTAGCCCTGCGCTCAACCCCCAACCTGGAGGGCCAGTCTACTCCAACCAGTTAAGGTCAGAGTAGGGCTATTGCACTACACTTATTAAGTACACTGGGCGATGGGCACGCCACTTTTCCTACGCCTGTATAAAATTATGCTAATGCATAAAAACATGTCCAAAATGCCACATTTAACAATAAACCTTATTTATAAATAATAACAAATTATTTTATTCACAAAATTAAAAATATTTACTCTTCTCTAAAAAATGTAATTGTTTATAAATAAAAAACTTAAATCTAACATTTGATTTGTACATAGGTACCTATATAAACTGTTTTGGAAAAATAATCTAAATTGGTTTATGTACCAACTTAAAGTACTAATCAACAGTAGATATACTGACCTGGTTATGATGGAACCAACACCCTAAGACACGTCAATACCCTTCAACACCTACACTAGAACATAATACATCTCTAAGTGCTGGTTCAAAATCAGTCATTATCAATGACGGTGATAAGTTGGAAAATAAATTGTTTTCAATAATCCATCACGCATTGATATGAGTCTCTCAATTTTGTTTCCATTAGCGCATAGGCTATTGGTATCGACTGCAAAATAAAATATCATATTTAAACTACAATAATTAACTACAACAGAAAATTAATTAATATATTAAAACATTTTCTGTGTAGGGTGTTTTTATATCAAAATAATAATTATTATTATTATTAATTAAATCAATAATTATTATTAAAACTTAACTCCATATGAAATTAAATATCACTTACTACATTATCCATCATAAAATGAATACTAAGCAGTTGACTGCCCATATTAGCCGGTACTACTTTAAATGTAGCATCAGCGTTGACCTCGGTTATGCCATGTGACAGAACTAAATTAATTAAGTGTGTACATTCTAACATAACACTGTATTTACCTAAAAATACATTTTTTATCTTAGTAATCCAGATATAATACTTTATTTCTCTATACATTTTATCACACAATTTAAATTAATAGGTACCTAGCATATATAAATATAAATATTATAAAATACAACATATTATTATAATGAACTAAATGAGCATATTATGGGCTAACTGTTCATGTTGGTATTGTGATCTATTAATTATTGTAACTAGAATTTAAATTTAATAAAGATCTGATACAAATATTATGGGTTCTTAATGTTTCATAATATATTTATCAAATATAAAGTATAAAATAGCTATCATCACAAAAATTCCTAGTAAATTTTAAGAAAATGTATTTACAAATAGTAATAATAAAGTTTAAAACTAAAATTGTATATCCAGATACCTACTACCTACTGATTATTAGATAAAAAAAACTAAGAATCTTTGAAGAAACAAATTTTGACAATATTGTCATCAAAACTTTAAATTCTGCAAGGTATAATTTGACTATTGTAAAAAAAATTATAAATTAAATATGAATAATACCATCAGAATCTTTAACTGATCCACTAAATATAGAATTGTTGCAACACATACATCTGATAAATCTCCATTATCGAATTTGACAGCTAACTCATGCAACGATTGAGGCAGAGTTGGTAGGGAAGATCTCCTAACAGAGCGCATTATACTTTCTGCAGTTGAGCAGGGATAAAGACCAGCAGCAACTCTGTGTCTAAAATACATTAATATAAATTAGCAGGATCAAGTAGGATACTAAAAAAAATTATAGTTTATGGTAACAAATATAATCCAAAAATCCAAAAATTAATACAAGTAAATAATAAAATTAAGTATTGTAATTTTTATATCCTAAATTTAAATTATTATACTTATAACAAAAAATTTAAGAATAATTCTAATATGTCCTACGACAAAAAAAAAAAAAAAATAAATAATAATTTATTAAACTTTATCTAATACGTCTTACAAAAATATAATACAACATAAAATTAATATAATTTATTTATTTCAATATTGTTTGTTACTTTTTTTTTACAGTTCATTACCCGAACATAATTCAATAATAATGAATAATTCAAATTTATCTTGATTGTAATGAAGAGCATTGATATTAAACTACCTATTAAAGATACATTATTATATACAACGCGGGAATTCCTATACATGGACAATGTATATAGATAAAGTATATAAATTATTATTATTTCATTTTTTTTTTTTTTTTGTAGGACGTGTTCGAATTTTCATTATTACATTTTTTTTTTTTTTTTTGTGTATTAGTAAAGAATTTAGATTTAGGATATAAAAATTACAATACTCAATTTTATTATTTACTTATATTAATAATAATGATTATAATATTTAAATTCACGCGGTAATTATTTGAATGTTATCTTATCACCGACGTAGATATCGAATAAATACATGAACAGTGGCTCCACAACAGTAATACTTACCACCGGATCTATGGCATTTGTATGCTCGTACCACGATTATAAAGAACCTGTTCTTTATAATCGTGGCTCGTACACAATGTACACTCGTATAGTATGCGCACCGGACGCTAGTCGTAAATCGTATTATTAATGTATTCATAGATTTCTATATGACTGTATGTGTAGCACACTAAAAGTTTAACAGTAAGTCAGGTAAGTACAGTTTCTGTATGGTATAGACATCTGTGTTCGTATTGCTTACACCCAACATTTATGGTTGTGAGAGATGATGTAGGGTGTTCAACACACATATCAAATAGTACTGTGTCAATGAGCAGTAAATAAGGTAAGTACTAAGAGTTAAGACACTAAGTAATAATTAACGAATTTGGATCTCAAACAACGCCTACCCATAACAACAGTTAGTAGGTATAGTAGTGTTGTGTACGGTTATTCGGTTCTAGCCATTTAACATTCCACAGAATTTTGTGGAGTTAGGGTCTTCACTGTATAATTGTTCTAGACCTAAAGCTTGAATTTTTCTGTGAGTTGACTGTGACAAATGATAGAAGCACCCACGTATAATAACTTCTTTGTTAAAGATTTTATACACAGCTTTAATGACAGCCTTTTGGTGTACGACCACTCATCTGTTAAAAGTAAAGAATTTAATTTTAAATAATTAATTAATTAATACAATTTAGGTACCTACCATCAATAATAAAATTATCAAGGCTAGTTGGTTCAACTGGATTTAATGCAGAACGCTGATTTCTTAAAGTTCTTTTAACATGGTCTTCGCTCTAGTGTTACCGTCCAACTTAGAAATTTCTGGCGCATAAACTCCAAGTGGCTTAGATAAACCAGTTTTCGATCGTTCCTTCATCGCACACAAATCTTTTTCTACCTTTACACTGTCATCATCTTTCGAATGGCTATGTCCTGTTTTTACTTCTGGGTTCTCTATTTTGAGATCGGTGTATAATTCTCCAGTACATTTCATTGAACACCTCTTAGAACACCTCCACGTTATTTTTGATATGCCAATATGCTTTACAACATATACATAACCTTTGTCACCACCTTTATTTGATTTTATAATTTCCATAGTCAAAGCAAAAGTAAAAATATAAAACAAATTTATAACTGCATAATAAAACTGTAGTAGTTAGACGTGTAGATAGTATCTCAACAACCAAGTAATGGAGTACCTACTATATGGAGTGTAGACATTTTGACTGGTTATACAATATATATATATATATGTAAATTATATTCGTAAGTACCGAACAATATAAATTAAATTAAATGTCAAAAGGCTTATCAATAGTTGGGTAGTAAAAATGCAATTTATTGACAGGTTTTTCATCAGTGGTTCATGGTAGTATCAAACCCCCTATATAAACTATAATCTTGAGAAACGAAAAAGAAGATCTTATAATATTTTCAATAGAACAAAGTTCATATTCAGACCTATAATTATTTATATTTGAAATTTTAAGATTTTCTTTATATTAGCCTACAGGGTGTCCCGTGAGGATTTACTCATTAGCCGTAGAGGGGGACTCGCCGCCCGGACAAAAACCAGTTTATTGACGTTTTACTAATAAACTAAAAAATTATTAAAAATCATGAGATTAATGAAAATAAAATGTTAAAAGCTCAAAATGTTCACAAAAATATACTCTATAGAATGGCTATCTTCAATTTTTTCAAAAATTAAAAAATAATTTTTTTAACTTTTTTACTAAAAATTTAATTTAATTAAAAAATAAAATATTTGTAGTGCTTACCTCTGCGAGTCTTAATAAAAAAACATAATTACGATATCTCCATTATTTCAGGAGATATCGCAATGAGTAAATCCTCACGGGACACCCTGTATATTGGCCTCTTATACAATTAACAATTACTAAGACTTATGTTTAATATATGTTGTGTTAATATTTATATTTTTGTTAGATTTACAATCTATATTTTATGCAATTAACAATTAATTATTATTTTCATTATTATATATAATATATTATGATATTTTGCTATAGCCTATAGATACATGGTAATTAGCAAGGCCCGGAATTATATGCACAAAAAATGTACGAAATATGCATGCATTTATGCACTGAATATCATTAAAATAGGCATGCACTTTGAATATGCAAAACTATGCATCCAAAAATGAAAGTTTAATAATTTATTTAGTTTTAAAATGTATATAATTCATTAAATAATCTATACAAAATAGAAAAATGTATTCTAAAATGTATTTACAATATTTTTGTACGTTGTATTGAACTGCATTGAGTTGTAATTTGAACATTCACTCATCTAAATAAAAAGTCATGAACGAAAATCAATTTAAACAAATGCAATAGATTTTTAAGATATTTTTAAATTTATCTGGAGAGTTACAATTAACTACTAAAGACTTGGCTAGATTTTCAAATAAAAATGCACGTCGGTTTTCAGCAAATATGTTCTTGAATCGAGAAAAACTTCGTTCTACATCCGTTAAAGATATCGGGGCATACTTAAAGTATACTAAGTCACTGCTTGAAAGATCTTCTGGTATATTGTTCGTTGAGGTATTTTCTCCAGTTATAATTTTGGATATATTTGATAACTGTCGAAATCCGTCATTTTTTTCAATGACATTTTTAAATTTATTGTATATTTCAACACCATTTGCACAAGATAATTCTTTAAACTTATTCTGATTATTTTCAACAATTTTAATGGAATCGGGTAACGGAAGACAATGCTTTTCTAAACTCGTTATGGCCGCTTTTAATATTCCATAATTTGAATAAATAAATACTAAATCAGCTTCCAAAATATTTTCTTCTAACATTATTTTTTTTACTTTTTCGATGCATATTGCGTCCTCGGCGTTTAATTGCTGAACTACATTTAATATTCGTTTAAAATATTCACAGTAATACATTGCTGCCTCCAACCATGTTCCCCATCGTGTGATAATAGGTGATGGAGGTAAAGGGACATCGGGAGCTTCTTGTTTAAACAGTTCAACACGTGAAGGGGCTTTAAAAAAAACTTTTTTCATGTTGGCTATTAGTTCATCAACTTTTGGAAAAAGAGAACGGATTTTTTCTGATGTCCGATGTAGTCCATGAGCAAGACAAGTGATGTAGATCATTTTGGAGTAAAATGCAGCTATAGCATTTGCTGCTTTTACCATGTATGGCGCAGCGTCTGTAACGAATAGTAATACATTTTCTTAATAATGAAACCGAAGGTATATCTTTACCTGTATATTTTTCAAGAAACAAATGAACATGTCTATTTCCCAATTTTTCCAAAGGGATATTTTGCTAGTAGTAATGTGTTGCATAAATCTTTGGCGAACATAAATTTGTCCGGTATATTAGGCAATAATTGTTGAAATTTTGATTTATTCTCATTTTTCCTGTGAACAGCACGGATGTGTTTATCCCTTTTCAAATGCTGTGTAACAGTAAAGCGCTTTACACTATTGACTTTAATCTCACATACTTTACAAAAAAGAATTCCCCCGTCACATGCAAAAATATTTTCTTCAAATTCAGCAACATATTTACGAACAGACGATTGTACTTTTGACATTTTAATTTAAGAAACGCAAATAGTCGAACACTCAAACGAATACACAATATCGCGAAGCACTGTCGTATAAAAACTAAACCATTAGTCCATTAGGTAGGTACTAGTTTTTCGTTACCAAGTTTTATTGTAGTAATAAACTTTATCTTATCTTATTGTTATTCTTATTATAAATCTTATTATAGCCCATATCAAATTATACTTCATGATACACTGAATTGACGTAAGTCTTGCACATAATAATAGTATACTTCATACTATTTTTTTTCTATATATGCATATATTTCAGAAAATTGCTGAAATATGTACAATAATTTAAAATGGTCTAAATATGCAAAAATATGCCAAATTTAATTTTGCATATCAACACATTAGGTTAAGATTCAAATTTATATCTTATCTAGCTACTTTTTAGATATTTAGATAGAAATATGCAAATGCATACAATTCCGGGCCCTAGTAATTAGTCATGGTAAAAAATTAAATACATATTATTATTATTATTATTATTATGTACATATTTTTGATTTTTTAATTAGGAGTACAGTATACATGTGTTCACATTTATATTTATATTTCTGGGATTTTTTTCCGCCTACCCATAACAACAGTTAGTAGGTATAGTAGTGTTGTGTACGATTATTCGGTTCTAGCCGATATTGTCCGTAGTGTGTTCAAATGGTTCAATTCCTGGATTAATGTTGATTAAGTTGTTTTTTTTTTATAGTTCGCACTTAAAGAATATTCAACACAAAACAATTAGTTTCAAGAAGTTTACTTATTTATTTAAATATCCTAAAACACCATTATAAAATAAAATAGAATTACATTAGTCTTCATGGAATCGCTGGCTTTTTACTACTCTCTAACAAAACATACATCGACCAGCTATTGTGTTGTAATAAGAATATCCAAAAAAATGTCAAATTCTTTATGCTTACATGGCTAAAATATCCCAATGTATAGAGTATTTCTTAATACTACAGCCAAAGGTTCCCAACGGTAGTATAATTATAATATACGTAGGTATAGGTAATTGCATTACAAATAACACACGGTTTTTGGAAAAATTTACTTTTTTGAAATTTATTTAAGTCAACGTTTTAAAAAATGATGGTTCCCAAAAAATACTCACAATTCATGTTTCCATAATCACTAGATGTTGGTCCTTTTTATAGTACTACCTATTTAGGTACATTCGTTTTTTGATAAAATTTAGTCAAGGTGCTATAGGAAACACTGTAAACAGTTTAAACAGTCTGAATCTCATTACATTATTTGTAACTAACGACCTCAAGTATGGCGACCAGAACTAGCCGCCGTGTGGAGCGTTTATACTTGTCAAATCATGAGTAATGTCAACCATTGGCTTACTTTTGTGGTCTATTTCCATCCCCGTAGAATTTATGGACCAAGTCCAAACCTAGAGGTCATAAAAATGTTGACTTGTAAAACCATTGTATAAGAAATAAGAAATATGCTCAACACTAACCATGTTTTGGTCCTAGTACGCGCATCACTATGTTTTAATGCTAAAAATTTAGCATTATGATTTTTGGAAGAAGACAATTTTATAATATAATATAATTTACAAACCTTTATTGGTGGTTACTCACTGAACACATTACTTCTACTTGAGCCAAGACTAAATTGTTTTGCAAAAATCTAGGATACTTATTTAAGCACTACCGTAAAACCTGCCAATATTAAATGTTATTATATAGTCATTTGTAAGTTGGATATAATTATATACTAGTTATCCACAGACTAACATAATTATTTACTGTATAACACAATGTAGGTACTCTTTTACAACTCTCTCAGAACAACATATTTCTTCATATCTGTATTGACTGTATTAAATACAACTTTTTTTGTACTTTTGTGTATTGAACTAGAATCTCTTTTCCTTCCCAAAATAAACAGTTATCACATTGATACAATAATATGGTCCATTACCATTATTATATTACATTATCTAGAGTTCGGAATAATTTTACACTGGTTTGGATCAACAAATTTCTTGATAGTGTAAGAATGTTTGTACTACAATAATGAGCATAAAAAAAAATTTTGATTTGTTGTTAACAATTTTTAATTTTCATGTGACTGCGATACCGGGTCAATCAATGGTAGATCAAGAAAAAGCCCTGAAATATCTATCTTAGCTTAAAGTATAATAAAAAGATGATATATGATCTAGGTACAGATATGTAAAATGTTTATTATTGTTTGTGGGGACACATGTGTAAAAGAGGTGTTAGGTTAGGTTAGGTTTGATATTCTTTATGTCAGTCTAAAAAGACACCCAATACTCCCTACTACAGGTTTGTCTTAAAATGTACCTAATTGTAATGGTTTATGTTCTCCGTACTAATTGAAAATCAATAATAAAGAGTTTTGATATTTGAGAGAATTAACATATTATCAAAATTTTTGGTAAGAACATAATCTGTGTTCTCTCATTGGTTTTCAACGATATTTTAATTTTTAAGTGATTTATGAGTATGTACTATATTAATATTTGAAATTGATCACATATGTTCACAGCACTAATTGAAAAACAAACAATAAGGAAGACATATTTCAATATGGAACCGTTCAGAATTATTAAACAGGAAAATATTGGTGATCAAGTATTTAACGAAATTATTAAACAGGAAAATATTGATGAAACACACCATAATGATGATAACCAACTATTACCAACAGGGTATGAATTAAATTTATAATATTATCACAGTGTTGTACTAAATTTGATAATGCAAATGTAATTATTATTAATATTTGTATGGTGATATTAATAGATGTAGTGTTCAAAAATTCAATAGAATTATTAAAGAGGAAATTACTGATGAAAAAGACCACAACAATGATCGTCAATTACTGCAAATAGGGTATGAATCAAATGTATATAGTATATCATAGTGTAATATTAAATTTTATAATGACATTTTTATTTTTATTAATTTTATTTGAATATGTGCTTAAACCTAAAAAAAGATGGTTGATTATAAATATTTAATAAAAAGGTTTGTTATGTGGGAACTGCTCTGCTGTACATAATGTATAATGCGGGTCACTTTAATGCATTTGTTATATTTGAATTTAAAAAAACGAGCTTCTGAGCCTTAACAGTAGAATACGCCAATGGCTTCTGACATACACAATTTTCCCATATTATCATCGTTCACGGGAACAAACTTCCCGTGGATAAAAAACTTAGTTATCAGGAAACACACAAAACGTTCTGACATTGCGTAAATTGTCGCTCACGTATTTCTTATTCACTAGCATGCGGTGCTTAAAAATATTATCCAATAAATAAAGCATACAAATTATTAGACACCATAACTCAAATTTAATTTCTAACCCAATTACTTTTTAAAATACATATAAAATAATTAAAATAATTTAGATACATTTTTTTAGTAATTGTGTCTCATTATTTACGTTGAAATTTATAATTGACCTGGATTACTTTTCGTACGATAATTTAATCTCCTATATACATATTAGTAACATTTTAAATAATAAATATTTATGTATTTATTTTTTTTTTTTTTTAAACATTATCCATATAGGTAATATTATGAAGTTGATATTTATATAATTTAATCATTAATGCAATTCACAGTAGGTACCTATGTAAAAAAAAAGTAGTATTTACTAACTAAACATGTCCATTGTTCATATAATCAATATAAATAAAACAATTTAAAAAGCAGGTAAATGGAAGTTGCTCTGCTAGTCTGCTAAACCGTAGGTAACAAATGGATCACTGTGATGGATGGTGTTAAATTTGAATTAAATGATATTAAATTAGAATCTAACCTAACCTAACCTAACGTTTGGTTACTGATGATAACAATCCGAGTCAATATGCAATAACCTGTATATTTGAACCATAGAGTTACTCTATGATTTCAAGTTTCAACCATGATCCGCACGTTATTTGAGTTACATTTTGATAAGTGATAAAATTAAGCGAATAGTGAATTGACCAGGGCACTATGCAATATGCACACAACCGAGAGACGGGACCAGGTCACATTAGATAAGTCAGCTACCTTCTTAGTTTTTTTAATATATATGTATATATAATATATATATATTTTTTTAATATATAGATATATAATATATTTATTCTCTTAATTGTTTTATATCTATGTCATTTGTTATTTCTTTTGGTAAATTTATCACATATTGTAGTAAATATTCAATACCTTTAGGATCATCTATTAAATGTTCCATTTTTGTTTTAAATAATTTAAGAATCCCATGTAGTTCATTATGATAAGCATAATTTCCTGCTATTTCTTCAGCTGCTATTAAATGTAATCTTTCATTTAATTGTTTCATATTATCTATCCAACAATATTCAATTTCATTATTTGTATAATTCATTAAACCAGCTCCTTTATTTTCTGTTGCGTTTGTAGGTTTTAAAATTTCTGTTGTTGGTTTTAAAGGTTTTTAAATTTCTGTTGTTGGTATTGTAGGAAAATCTGGTATTGTATGATTTAAATTTTCTGTTGGTGTTGTTGGTGTTTTTTCTTTTTGAATTTTTCTCCAAATAGGACTAATCAATTGTACATATTTGTTAATATCTGAAATTGAGTATGTAGGAAAAGTAAGTACAATTAACGGTGTGATAGGCTGCAACTCTTTGGATTCAAATGGACCAACTATAAACTCATGCTTTGTAAGCAAATTTAGAGGTGGAGGTAATTTTAATGTTATGGGTTTTATCAGAATTTGTTTTACCTGTTTTCAATGACATTTCAATTCCTGTTATCAATTGTGATATGGAATTATGTTTTAGTGTTTTACTAGAAATACAGATGATGATGCATTACTAAAAAAAGATGTAGTTATTGAAAATGGTAAAGAGGTAAGAAAAACTGTTGTAGGAACAGAAGATGGTACAATTATTATTGATGAATTTAAAATTAAAATTCCAGATGTAAAATACGCTGCTTTACAAAATGTTTTTTTTTTTT